GGGGGCGTGCGCCTTGGCTCTGGGTCGCGGTCTGCTGCGGCCGAGGTGGGCGCCGCTCCTCACGAGCCGCGCCCTAAACGCGGGGCGGCGGCGGTGGCGGAGGCTGTATCGAGCTTGAGCGATGAGGCCGGCGACGCGTCCGACGGCGCGCGTGGGACGCTGGCGGCCGACGGCGCGAGAGCTGGGGGGTGGGGTGGGCGGGGGGTGGGCTCTGCTGGCGGCCGGGGAGCCGCCAGGCGCCGGCGGCACGACACGAGCCGCTCTGTTCATGGTGGAGGCTGTGGGGGGAGAGGTCGACGTTGTTTGAGTACTCTCACGGACGCGCTCACGGACGTACGTAGCCTGCAAGGCGGTATCGCGGTATGCGGGTTGGCATGTGTGACATGATGAGTTTATTATTTTTGCTCAGAGAAGAGAGCGCCAGAGGCGGTGGGTGGGCGCCCAGACATTGTTCACTGTCTGACCGTGTGACCGAGCGATCACACGAAAACGGGACGGCGCCCGACGTCTCCAACCAACGCGAGTCAGACCTCGTCCTTGCCGGGGCCCCCTCGCCTCCGAGGAGGTAGGGCGGCTCCAGCTCCGGCAACTCTGGAAGCCGCTGGAAGGAGGCGCTGCCGCCGAGTGTGGCGTCGACGAAAGCGCCCATCGCGCTCGCCTCGAGCCTACCCTCGGTCGCCGCCGCCCGCTCGCCCGCGCCACCGCCGCCCTGCAGCGCGGTGAAGCGCGCCCGCCTCCCGGGCTTGACGGCGACGAGGGCGGGGAGCGAGGCCTGCTCCAGCCCAAAGGCGGCGAAGAAGTCTGCCTGGCAAGGTGAGGTGAGGTGAGGTGAGGTAAGATACACGCCTCCGTCACGGAAGCAAGGACCTGACCGCCCTCGCGACTCCACGTCCAAAGGCAGGAGCCCCACGGCGTTCAAGGTGCAAGGCGTGGCGCGCGCGTGTGTGTGTGTGTGTGCGTGCGTGCGTGCATGCGTGCGTGTGTGTGTGTGTGTTTGTGTGTGTGTGTGTGTGTGTGTGTGTGTGTGTGTGTGTGTGTGTGTGTGTGTGTGTGCGTGTGTGTGTGTGTGTGTGGTGTGTGTGTGTGCGTGCGTGCGCGCGCGTGTGGTCTTGATGGTGGTGGTGGGGGGGGGGGGGCTTTCCAGCCAGCGAACAACCAGGTGGAGGCGGTGCCTTTTCCCTTGGCGCCCCCCCCAACCAAACGCGAGGGGGTTCTTTGTGGGGACCCCCCCCGACAAAACAAACCATTTTTGGGGGGAAATCCCCTTTGGGTGGGGTTTGTTGGTGTTAGGGGGTAAAAGTTGGTTTCTTGTTTCTTCTGCCTGCCGCATTATGAGCGTGGAGGATGGTGGGATACTTCTTCCAAATCATCTCTCCCCCCTTCATGTTGGGGGGGGGG